TACTAGGAGTGCTGTTACTGCTGAAGTCTGTCTGTGAAGTCTGTTTTTAATACACAGCCAGTGCTATTCTTGACACAGCTTCAGGGAGAGAAATGTTTGGGTGAGTCCTGCTCCCGTCCTGGGTGGGAGAAGAAGTCAAGTGCCTTATGTCCTTTCTTAACTCTCCCAGCAGAAGGGAATCAAATTTGGTTGGAGTTGTTGCCTTTAAATACCTTTGCTGAAGCCTGTGTGCCAAGATCGTTGAAGGGAGTGGTCATGTTAGAGACCTGCAGCTCTCTGACCTTATTCCTAGCAGGTTTTCAAGTCCTGGCGTGTGTTTGCTCTTCTAACCATTGAACCATGGCTTCTTCATGGGTCAAAGCTGCTTAATGTTTTCCCCAGAGAGATCTCTTGACTACACTTGGCTGAAACCAAACAAATGAGCACTTTAGAAAAGTACGTACAGAGTGTAATTCTCAGTTAAAATGTGTGATCTCCTCGAATCCTGTTTGGTGTGTACAGCTCCAGAGCCCCGGCTGTGGTTGCAGTGGGATGGCTGCTCTGCTGAGCTGTTTCTGGAAGCTGGTGTGAGCACTGCTGAGCCACGCTGCAGGAGCTGACCCTGTCACTTGTCTTGCAGTGGGACACGGCGGGACAGGAGCGGTTCCGGACTATCACTTCCAGTTACTATAGAGGAGCTCATGGCATCATAGTTGTGTATGATGTTACAGATCAGGTATGTGTTAAACCTGGGCCTGCACAGTTTCTCCAGGCTGATGAGTAAATGGGGAATTTAACAGCTGGGCACCTCGTAAGGGAGAGAGTGACAGAGTTCTACAGGCTGTGTTAAGGCTTATCAAGCTAAATATATGCGTTTGCCTCTGGTTTGGCAGAAATAAAACACAGAAATAAAGAGAGCAGTGGGATTTGTGGCTCCTAAGCAATTGTATCTTAGGCTTAACCTAAAACTTGGTGAACAGGTAACTAATTGTCCTGTGTGAGTACCTCTCACCTTGCCTTTGGTGGCAGGAAATCTGAGTTACTGATGGAAATTGTTGAAAGATTTCTGAATGTACTTGAACTGTGGTCTGCAGTAGAGACTGGCATTTGGAACAGAAAATTGCCAGCCTGCGTGCAAGATACAACTGAGCCAGTGTTTTCTCTGAAAGGATCTCTGAAGAACTGGTGCAGTTGTTTGAAAGGCACTTGGGAAGTATAGGGTTTCCTGAATTAATAGAAAAAGAACACTTGTGTTCAGTCACTAACTGGAGTATCAGTCCAGCATTTCTGGAGTCAGAGATTGTTCCAGCAGCATATCTGCAACAAGGTAGCTTGCATCTAACACCTGATGCTTAGTAAATATGTGGGATGCATCCGGTTTCAGCTGTGTGCCACATCTCTTATCTCTGCTACAAGAGGAGGAAGAAGAGCCCCAGATGGTAGAAGATGTAGAATATTCAATATATGGAGCAGGGAAGAGTGCAGGAAGAGCTGTGTAGGGCTGGGAACAGGAGCTGGATGGCCCCTGTGGTGACCAGCCTGTCCCAGGGCCATCAGGGGAGTTGGGCAGATTGGAGAGTCCTCTCCCATGGTTGTGACTCTATCATATGGATCCATGGATAAGTGCAGTGCCTCATACTCTTTGCTGGTCATGACCAAAGGGATAGTGCTGAACTTTCCCCTCCATCAAGGGCCTTGCTTACAGTTCTCTTATCTCGTAGGAGTCTTTCAATAATGTCAAGCAGTGGCTGCAGGAGATAGACCGTTATGCCAGTGAAAACGTCAACAAGTTGTTGGTGGGGAACAAGTGTGATCTGACCACAAAGAAAGTAGTAGACTATACAACAGCAAAGGTACGTCGGGACTCGTGGGCTTGCTTGGCTGAGCCCCTGCTCTGGTTTGTCATGCACAGAGGTGTCCTGGTGCCACGAATGGGGGCAGTTTAATGACCTCCTACCCTGCAACTCATCCTTAGACTGGACATGGGGTGTGGGGTGGGATCCAGGAACTTGTGAGTTATCCAGTGGTGCTCCAGGAAATGAGGTGAGGTATGAACCTGCGTATGAGCTTACTGTTCACTGTTTCTCAATTTGCAGGAATTTGCAGATTCTCTTGGAATTCCGTTTTTGGAAACCAGTGCAAAGAATGCCACAAATGTAGAACAGTCTTTCATGACCATGGCTGCCGAGATTAAAAAACGAATGGGCCCGGGAGCGACAGCTGGTGGTGCAGAGAAGTCCAATGTTAAAATTCAGAGCACTCCAGTCAAGCAGTCTAGTGGAGGTTGCTGCTAAAACTTGCCTCCCCCCTTTTGTCTCACAACAATGAATTTGCAATCTGAACCCAAGTGAAAAAAAAAAATTGCCTGAATTGTACTGTATGTAGCTGCACTACAACAGATTCTTACCGTCTCCACAAAGGTCAGAGATTGTAAATGGTCAATACTGACTTTTTTTATTCCCTTGACTCAAGACAGCTAACTTCATTTTCAGAACTGTTTTAAACCTTTGTGTGCTGGTTTATAAACGTGTAATCCTTGTTGCTTTTCCTGATACCAGACTGTTTCCTGTGGTTGGTTAGGATGTATTTTTGTTTTGATGTTTCTATTGGCATGTTTAGATGTCAGGTTTAGTCTTCTGAAGATGAAGTTTAGCCATTTTGTATCAAACAGCACAACAGTGTCTGTCACTTTCCATGCATAAAATTTAGTAAGATATATGTAAGATCTGATTTGCTAGTTCCTTCTTGTAGAATTATAAATGGAGAGATCACACTATCTGATTAATAGTTTCTTCATACTCTGCATATAATTTGTGGCTGCAGAATATTGTAATTTGTTGCACAATATGTAACAAAACTGAAGAAATGTTTAATAAATATTGTACTTATTGGAAGTAATATCAAACTGTATGGTGATAAATATTGTCTTAATTTGTATGGCTAAGGGGGAAATCAGGCTTGCATTGTGCACAAAACACCATATCTGTGTGTGCAGCCATGGCTCTCAGACCTTCCCTGCAACTCGCCCAGTGACTGTGGCCCCAAAGCCTGAGCTGTCATGGTGCTTAAGGCACGAGTGCTGTACCAGAAACACCCAGCCAAGGTTCATGAGGCATAATGCACTCTGAATGTACAACAGTTCCCTAACTTAGTCTTGGAACTTAATTTATTTCTCAAGGACTCTTTGTAGGGAATTCCCGTCAGCTTTGCATAGCAGGGGAGAGAACAGTGTTTCCCTAACATGAATGATTTCAGTGAAACCTTGAGGAGGTATGACTTTCTACCAGTATATTATGTCTTTTCTATATACTGTTAATTCCATCCTCTTTTAATCAGTACCTTCTGACTTAGTGCAACAGCTTAGCTTCTATCCCTTCTGCAGTGAGGCACCAGGAGGGTGACATGGGGATAGCAAGGCCCCCACCATACTGTTGCTCAAAGTAGGCGCTTTCTCAAACAATTTGGAACTAACCAGCAGCCAAGAGGTTTTGGATGGTGTGTGATTCTTTGTACAGAGCTAATCAAATCATTAGTGCCTGATGTCTAGCTAAAAGCCACAGGAAAGCTAGCCTATAACACTTCCTATACATGTAAAATTGTTCAGCTTTATCTAAACTCAAATGTTCAGCCTATTCTGTAAATAGTCTCATGTTTGAAAGACCATGTAACATTCCCCTAGTAGTAAATACACCCTGTGATAGTAAAAATATAGCCTAGGTATGTTGTGAGGTATAAACTAAAACTGGTGCAAATATCCTCTGATTATTTTTTTTTGGGGGGGGGGGGTGACTTTGGCTAACAGCTTTCTTCAACATAGTTGCATAAATCAACAGGCAATTGTAATACATAAAGTATTGTCATGGTTAAGTTGAACTCTTCCACTTGAGACCTTCACAATAAAGTGATGTGCTTTCTAGTAGAGATGTGCTTGTTGGTATAATTCATTATAAATGTGACCTGCTGCTCCTCAGGAGCAGGAGGAGCAGTGAGTGCTGCTGAGATCAGGAAGTGAAGCAGAAGGTGGTGTGTTGAGGGTAAAACATCTTCCCTGCAGAGAGTGCACAAATGAACTTCAATGTCGAGATGCCTGCTACATACTATCCAAACCAATGTTAATATATACAGTAATAAAAGCATTGCAAAACCAGTTGGGCTACACCAGGTGTTTGGTGGTTCTTTGTTTCCCCCTCAGTCACCACTGGGTCACTGGGCTGGTGCTGTTCTGTGCTGAAGCCTGGGCTTGTCAGGCCGAGCTGTGTGATGAGGGTAGAGCAGGCCTGCAACTCCTGGGAAAAGGCACTGTTGTTTCTTACCTGTGAGCCGAAATATTGAATGTTTTTGCCACAATGGGCCAGAAAATTTGCCCTTCAAGCCAAGGATGTAAAAGATGGGAGAATACCAACCCTCCCCCACAAACCCCAACGAATTATTTGCTGTAACTGCTTCAGTTTAACTTTGCTTTCACCTTCTACTTGTACAGAACAGAAACTTCTCTCTGTTCTGTTCATAGGAATGGGAGGAAGTCATTGTGTGCTTGTGCAGAATACATCACTGCTGTTCAGGTTAAAGGTTAATTAAAGCCAAGTACCACATTCTGTGACTTTTTTTGGCCACTTACCTTATGCAGCTTCAGAGCTGCCCTTTTTCTGTTGGGGAAAGGGTGTGGAAACCCTTGATGAATGTTCTCAGCAGTGACTTAACTGCAGTAGCTGGAAGGGGGGAGGCACAACTTCACCCCAGGAAACCAGCACAGCACTAACCCAGCTCCTGCCAGCAGCAGGTTACACAGAACCTGGCTCCTCCCTGCCTGAACTCCCTTGTTTATTATTTTATTTGGATTCATTATTACAGCTTTTTGTGTTTATGAATAACAAAATTGAAAGTTAAGTAGGCTCTACTTCAGCAGGGAGTGGTAATTATAAACAGGCCTTGAGTTTGCTCCCAAGAACCAGAAGGAGTTGCTATTTCTTGGCTTCTCACACCTATTTTTGACGAGCATAAACAAACCATGAGAACAGGGCTATTAAAATCACACGGCTTTACTTAGAGAGCGCACGGCACACTATGGATTGCTCAGTTAAAAAACTTCCCGACATTTTGCTCACACAGAACAGCCCACTTCAATAAAAAAGGGAAGCTATTAAAAAAAACAAACCAGAAAAGGCCAGCTGTACATTCCTTACACAACTCTGGACATCCCAGCACACCTGCTGTATGGAGCACCTTTCTTAAGCCATGGCACAAACCCACGCTGCAATCGGCCCCGTGGGCAACTGGACACAGATTTTGGCGTCTCTGGAGAGGATGGAGGTGGTTTGGTGCTTGCTGCAATTCTTCTCAGCCCTCCTGAGATGGGCTAAGGCAGCCTAGGTCTGACAGAGGCAGCACCTGAAATAAAGTGAGGTGTTTGGTGCTGTGCTTTGCCTGCAGTCTGACAAAGAAAGAAAGCCCCATGCTCTATTCCCCCATCTCACCAGTGCAGAGGGTACAGCTAGGTAGAGGCAGCAATTCAAAAACCATAACGCTACTTAAGACACTGTTTTTCTCTTCTAAGAGGCTGGCACCCCTGAAACACTTGCCTCCAGTTTTCTTTGAAGGGAGATGGTCACGAAATAAGCAAACAAGTTTTCCAGCCCCTATACCTGAAATCACTTGCTTCCCTTCCCCACCATTATACTGCAACCAGAATGTTTCTGAGAAAATACAAAACCAGAATGTAGCCTTCCTCATCTCCCCTGTGCTGTGCAAGGGATCTGGGCAGAGCAGGTGTCTGTGCTGGCCTGCTGCCATCCCCCAGTCCTGAGTGACAGGGACCTGCCTGCCCAGTCCCTGCGGAGCTGCCGCCGCTCCCCTCGTGCTCTTGGGTTTCATCAGCTGGTTCACCCGCCCTGCTCTTTCCCTGAAACGGTTAAACACGACCAGGCGTCTATTTTGAGTCTCCCTGCTGCCTTCTCAGGCTTCCCAAACAGAATCAAAGGAATAACAATGGAGCCTGATGTTTGGTGTTTGCTAATTGGAGAGTTTCTCTTGCTGTGCTTCTTCCCCTCTGTGCCGCTGCAGCCAGGCTGCTTTGCCCCTGCTTACCCAGGGAGCAGCCGTGTGCTGCATCCCCCGTGTCCTGCCCCGCGTCCCTGCCCCGCATGGGGCCCACAGCAGCCAGCAGGGACTTGTACAGGTGCTCTGCGTGGCTTTCCAGCTCCTCCGACTGTTTGGCAATCAGAGCCAGCGTGTCCTTCAGAGCTGGAAAGCAAAAATGCCTGAAGGGAGGTGACAGGAATACGATAATTCAGTGTCTGTCAGAGCTGACAGTTCTGCTGGTCCAGGCAGACTTTGGAAGGAAATCAAGTGTTAAAAATCAGTAACGTGCTGTTCATCCCATCCCCATGTTGATGCAGCATTGGCAGGCGGTGGGGACTGACCCAGTAGGCTCCAGGTTCATCATGAAGATGCAGAAATAGGGGGTCCTAGAGAAAACCTTTGGAAGTGTGCAAGAAAGCCCATCCATAACACAGCACTTGACCTCTAAAACCCCTTTGGTGACTGCACCTACAGCCCACCCCTTAGAAATCCCTTCTCCCAAATCACCAGAGCAACCACCCTGTGTGCTGTGGTGCTGGCCAGGCTGGGTCAGGGATTCTGGGGGGCAGATGCCCTGGCCAGCATCACCTGTGTCCATGAGCAGCCCCACATTAGGGCTCCTCCTCACCTGGGGAATTCGATGCCATGCAGTCCAGGAGAGCCTCTCCCCTCTCCAGCACGCTCTCAGTCAGGCTCCGGTGGTCGGCCACATCCTTCCTGAACTCCTGGCACGGCAAGGAGAAGAGAAGCGTTTCTTAGGAGGGTTTTTGAAACACACACCTGTGGCAGGTTGCCCAGGGAGCAGTTTCCGCCAAGCAGGTTCCTGGTGCTCCCAAATTTGGCTTGGCAAACGCAGAGCACCCTGGACCATTCCAGTGATGCCTGGCTCCCACTGCTTGCTGCCTGCAGCACAGGAGAGGGGAGGAGGCAGAGCAAGGGTGACACCCACCAGGTAGTGGTGCAGCGATGCCAACACGCTGTCGGCATCTGGCGAGGGTGGCACCCAGCTGCCGGTGACATCCACCACGCTGTACAGCCAGTGGATCAGCTCTTCCAGCTGGCAGCAAAACATCTGCTCAACAAAGCATAAAAAAGGGGTCACTGGTCTATTTCTGCAACAGACACAGCGCAGGGACATGAAGAGGTGAGCCAGTGGTGTTTGGAAAGCATCTGTTCCCTGCTTCTCCCTGACCCTGGAACACAAACATCCCTAAGCTTGGGAAACCAAGAGTCCAGTGGGAAAAAGGCAAAAAAACCTTAAACTCCTGAACAGCTCCAGCACTCACTGAGTGGCAAAAATTGAGGGCCAGCATGAAATGTCTGCATGGAGAGGTGCTGGAGGCTGGTAGCACCCAGGCTGAAGGAGAGGTTGGCCTCCACCGCCTCCCAGCACAGGAGGTATCCTCATCCTCTTCACCAGAGCCATACAGTTAATTTGCAGCTGGTTTCCCCAAGGGATTGTCTCGTTCAATTAAGTGCTTTCATTTATTTTTAAAGCGTCTCGGTAAGGGATTATTTTTGTAAGATGCTGCATGAAACCCAGGGGCCTCTGCTGGCACCAAAATCAGGCTCAAGACCTGTTCCTGCTCCTCAGGAGTTTGCCATAAAGCAGTGCTTTTCTCTGGCATTACAATTTGGCGTGACAAATACAGAGAAGATGCTTTTAAATCAACAGAGTTATTTCCATACCAGAGGAGGAGATGAGTTTGCAGCTATGTGCATGACAACACTCCTGTGCACACAGCCTAGCATCGTTTCCAAATTCATCCCAGGACTGGGGTGGGAAGAAGATGGAGAGGAGGGTGGGATCACAGTGCTGGGATGAATTTAATAATCCACAAAACAACCAGGAAACCCTTAGGAGTTGCTGCAGCTCCTGCCCAGTGCAGCAGCACTGCAGGACGTGTGGGCTGGGGGACCCAGCTGACATCTGCACCCAGCCCGGCCTGTGACACTGAGCCCCAGGGAAGGCAAGATGGGCTCCTGCTCCATCAGAAGGAATTATCTGCTCTGCTGAGCCCCCCTGCATAAATTACCTCCAGCTGCCAGGCAGGACACATCATGCAGAACGGGAAGCTTTAATTAATCCTGCCATAAAGACAGGCACACTTTATGTGAGATCTTCCCGGAATAAACTTTATTTCTGGTCTCAGCCTACCTTAACACACTGGATAAGGGACTCGCTCTGCTGGCTCTTCTTTGGATGCCCCTTGACCCGTGGTTCATCCAGGCAGATCCCATCCTGTGTGTCCCTGAGAGCAGCTGGCAGATGAAGCCCGCAGGGAGGATCCCTGTGGCTCCAGCCACACGATTCTGTGTTTTCCCAGCTGGGCTTTCGGGAGCTGCGGTGCCGCCAGAGCCCAGCATAACCCTCAGCATTCCCTCGGTCATCCCCACCTCTCCCTTCCTCAAAAGGAGCCAGCCTAGATGAAAGGGGCTCCTTGCTGGTGCTCTGGTGTGGAAGGTTGTGGTGGTCACGCCCAGGCATCCTTATAGTTAAAGAAAGATTGGACAAAAACTGAGCCAGCCTTTCCAGCTCCTTCAGTCTCGGAGGCAGGGAGAGAAATTCTTCATCAGTCTCCCACTCCTTCCTCAGGGGGAGCACTCCTGTGGTGGGTAAAAACCTCCTGGTGCTTTCCACCTGCCCTGTGTAGTTTGGGCTTCCTCTGGTATCCCAGCTTCTCCCCTCGGCAGCAGGGCACCCAGGGGAGCTTGGCCCAGATGATTCCACCCTTACATCCTTAGCAAAACCTCTGGAAAGGTGAGAGGAAGAACTCCTTCCAAATAATGCTTTGGCAATAGGTGAAGGCTCAAAGCATGAGACAGCTCCTGAACAGGCTCTTTTTCCAGGCCTTGGGGTGGAGAATCTCTCTGCAGAGGCCACAAACTCCCAAAGTCCGTTTTCTCTGCTTCCCCGAGCCTGCCCAGCTCGGCTGTAGATGCTGGTGGACCTGGACACGCCCTCAGGAGAAGTAGAAAAGCTGTCCAGACCTATTCCTGAGTCATGGAGGAAAGGCTCTGGTATCCTTCCCAGCTTGTACCTCGGCTTCAGTGGGTAAGCATAGTCCAGCAAGTCCTCGTACTCCTTGTGGGGGTCCCAGTGGGGTGAGCTGCGGTCCGGAGATGGGGGCAGTGAATCCGGAATGGCACAGGCCCAGTAATCGGCTTGGTAGGAGGAGATCTCCCGGACGCGCCCCACGGAGCCGCGGTAACCGAGCAGGGGCCCGGGGGGCTCCCGCCTCTGCAGGGCCCTGCCTTCCTCCCGCCATGGGCAGCGCAGGTCCTGGGCAGCCGTGCTGCCCGCAGAGGGCACAGCCGTGCTGCCCGGCACGCTGCCGCACGGCTCCTCGGAGGGGCCGCTCCCTTCTGAGGACAGGGCAGAGAGGCTCAGCACGGAGCGGCTCCGCAGGGCGCTCTCGGGGCTGGGCGGGGTTTGGGGCCGCAGGAGCTCCGCCGTGGAGGGACACGGGGACGGAGCTCCCAGACTTTGCCTCCGACGGCCAACGTGGGCATCGTGGCGGCTGCCAGCAGGGATGCTCTCCTCGGCAGAGCTGGCAGGGCTGGACACCGGGCACCAACCACCTGAATCCTTCACCTGCTCAAGGGCGGGATGGAAAAGGAAAGGGAGAGAGAGACATGCAGGAAATGAAGCACAGCATCCAGACAAAAGGGTCCTTTGTGCTGGGATATGGAGATGAAAGCCCAACCTGGACCTGCCATGAGCTGAGGCTGGAAGTGGAACCCCGTTCCCTCTGTGGGATGGCCTGCAGCTGCTCAGAGCAGGGCTTGCTTTTAAGGAAAGGCATCTCAAGGGCTTGGGAAGCTGCACGGGCCATCCAGCAGCAAGAGGCTTATCTAAAGTGCACTGTCCTGAGCAAGTTCCCAGCTCTGCACTGGCCACTTGGAATGGAAGCTACAGCTTGGGTGTTGGAGCCCAAGCCCCTCCCCACCACACATCTTAGCCTAGACAGGGAACACTCTGTCTGGGAGAGATGGAAAGCCCTTGCTGGGAGAGCCCTGACAAACTCCTGGGACTTTCTGGTGGTGCAGCAACACCCGCAGGTACAAACCCTCCCACCTGTAGGTACAAACCCTCCCACCTGCAGCTACAAACCCTCTCACCTGCAGCTACAAACCCTCCCACCTGTAGGTGCAAACCCTCTCACCTGCTGCTCTTCTGAGGAGAGGAACCAGTGGCCAACTCGACAAGGCACAGGGCCACCATCAGCAGCTCTATCCACCAACAACCCTTTCCCTGAGGAGTTTGCTCTTGCTCTGGGAAATCCGGGTGCAGATGCTGAAGACACGTCTGGGTGGCAGCTGGAGCCTCCGTGGGTGACATCAGTGGCCTTGTGACCGTGCCTGCTCACTGCCACCCCCTCTGTCCCTCGCTGGCTGGGCTTGGCCTCCTCTGTGCCCAGAAGGTGGTGCAGGCTCCCTGGCGGCTCCGGGAATTCCGTCTCCGTGTCTGCGCCGTCCCACCGCCCATCGCCCTCGGCCTGCCCGCTCAGGGACTCCTCAGAAGGCGATTTGCCCACACCCACGGCCATCGGCACAGAGCTCCTTCCTCGGGCTCTCTGGAACACACAGCAACAGCATCTCAGTGTCCCCCTTGTCTCCGTGCCAGGAAACCGGGCTTGCCCAATAACAAAGAGCTGAAGCAAGATTGGGGTGAGACCCCGAAATTCATAAAGAAGCATCTTGGTGCACCAGGTGGGACAGTGGTGAGAGCAAACCCTCCCATCTCAGCAGCATTTTCTGCTTCTGAGGATGTGACACACAGGGAAAATCTCATTCCAGCTCTGGCCGTGCCAAGAACAAACCTGGGCTTTACACCAGGCAGTGATGGCCAATGTCCCCAACACTCTGTGCCCCATGAGCTCACTGGGCTCGAGTGAGACATCCTTAACCAGGACATGAAGCACTTCCCGGTGTGGCTGAGCCCTGAGGCTGTTGGGGTGGAAAGCTGAGTGTTTTCTAAAGATACAAACCCAAAACCTTGAAGCAGAAGCCACCCAGAAGCAAGAAGCAGCTATAAAAGTTAGAGAGGGAGGTAGGAGGCTGCGAAACTCAAACCTGGAGCTCAGCTCTGCAGCTTCTACCTCAATTCATGAAATTAACTCTTTGGTAAATTAATCAATGGAAATACTGGCACTGACTGGGCTTGAGTGAGGAGCTGCTGCAGGATAACCCCGGAGCCAAATGAAGGAGACCCAACAGAGTCTCCTCCAGCAGCTCGAGCCCAAACCAAGGTGCTGGCAGCAGGGAAATGCCAGCAGAGTGGTTCTGCTGGTACTCCCTCCCCCAGCACCCACAGCAAACTCAACTAAAATGAAATTTAAATTATTAAAAAAAAAAAAAAAGAGGCGAGAAAGAATTCCCAGACAATACTTGGAAGTGGGAAACGAGATGATACTTGCCCTCGGAAAGGCTGGATCTCCACACAAAGAGGTGGGGTTGTTGGGAAAATGTCATCAATAAATCTGCCCCTGTTATGTGACTTAAAATATATGTATAAAAGACAGAAAAACTTAATAAAGCATCAAAGCTGCCTCTAAAGTTTAAAAGTGACTGTGCTGTAACCAAAAGTTGGCCTCAGGACAGCTTTATTTTTAAGATGCCACAATAAATTCAAATTTGAACATCTTTACCTCCACCAGATTTGGTGGTTTGGGTCAGGTGTCAGCCCAGAAAAAACAACTGTAAAAACCACCAAAGTTTGACCTTAAATCTGAAAAACATGCGTTAAGGAACATAAAATAAAACTTACAGGTCATGACCCATCTGTTACTTTCCTGACTGTGTGGAGGAGGGCAAATATTCTGAAGTTAAGATCATTTGTTATCTTATGGAGGCAGCAAGCAGTGATTTACATTTCTACCGTGCCATTGGTCTTTAAAAAAAGAGCAAGTGCTGGTTCACAGGTTCATTAAATCTCCAGAAGCTAATTGGATGCTAAAGGGAAACCAGGAAACCTGCCAATACACAGGAGTGAGAGTAAATCTGCTTACTGCAGGATTTGTACGGGTATTTAAAGGGACACCAGAGATCTCACTGCATTTTCCAAAGGCTCTAATTCGGGCAGCTGATTTCAATTAACTTCAGAGGCAGCTGGATATCCGAACCACACCCGGACACAACCGAGACGGGGATGCCGCACACAGAACAACCGGGCAAAAGGTCATATTTAACAACAAAAAATCATATTTAACTACAAAGCGAGAACACTACTGCCGCTAAGTGCAACTCCCAGCTACACGAGCGTCTAGCGAACGAGCTTTCTCACCATTTTCCAACAAGCCCAAAAACACTCAGAGGTCAGGTTGCCAGTGGCAGCGACGCATCCAGATTAACCCTGGCGACAGGAACGAGCAATCCCAAATCCTCGGGCAGGACTGAGGAGGGATGCAGGACCACAGCTATAGGCACGGTGGAAACTTTCCACTGGCCTCAAAAGCACAGGAAAACAGCCCGAACAGCCAAGCCCTGCATTGTCTCACAGAAATGATACCCGTGGTTTTAGATAAGAGAAGACAGTGGGGCTAATTCATTCATTTCAAAGGGAAGGTCCGCGGGGATCTCTCCTGAAAAGCGATCCCGAGCTGTCTCAGGCCCTCAGAAGGGACCCGCCGGCACAAGGGCGGCCGGACAAGGAGGGCTCTGCCCAAGGAGCGCCCCCGCCGCCCCTGGGATCGCCTGCCTGACGGAATGCACTGAGCGCAGCGGATGCTGATGGAATTTCCGTCTCCCGCCAGCTCCGCTTTGCCTGGGGAGCATTTCTGGGCTTGTTCTGGGGAAAAACCCACACGGCTCTCGCCCCTCAGGCCTGCGGGATTCGGAGGGTTGCTATTCTCTGCTCCTCTCCTTGCCCGCTTTCTGCCCGCCGCTGGAAAAAAACGGCAATTAACCAAAAAGACAAGAAGTACAGGCAAAGAGGC